TTGAATAGATGTAGAGATCCAGAATTTATCACATGATCTAGGTATGTGACAGATTAGAAAAAGTATGAATTTAGGAACTAGGGATTGCAATTCTCACTCTTTCACTTCATGTCTGTGGCCTTTGGAACATTATCTAAGCTTGTTGAGACCTCTATGTGCTTTATAATACACAGAAGTTATGAGGATTAAGTAACTTTACTAAGGTAAAGGTTCTGGCTTAATGTATACCTCCAGTATAGCGAAGTTGGAATTCCAGCACATACAGAGTCATTTGCTCTGTATTCTTTTCAGATACTTGCCTTTGCCCGTTTTGTATCTCCTTTTGCATCATCCACTTTAGGGAGGTTAGGATGAAAGTAAGTTCCAACTCAGACACGGCCCCAATTCACATCTAACACAGGTTTAACATGTACAGCAGTGGAGCCCAATTTTGGATGGTAATAAAACTACTATCGAAAATTTGGGCTTTATCTATTTTCCTTGATGCACACTAATGCTGAGTGCAAATGTTCACGTGTAATCAGTTTCTGATGACAACAAGTATGGATCCTAATACAATCCTTCCTTGTAGAGAAAAAAGGAAATCCTTACTGAAATGTTCATAGCCTGACATGTATTTGTTTCAACAGCTTCCCACACTGAATTCATCTTGGACCCTCTCCAATCACCCGAATGTTGTTGCCCACTTCCAGACAAGTGCTGAAACCCTGAATCGACACAGGGTGTAACTCTCATTAGAAGTTAGCACAGGTTTCAGACAAGCCTGCTGAGTAAGAGGGCAAGTCTTTGAAGAAAAACAGAGACATGAGCAGCAGCCTTAACCTGACAGGTCTATTTACTAAAGTGTGATTTAGGAAATCTTGCAAATACAAAAATAAGCCGTAGATCCAATGAGGGATTGCTAGGAGTGAATATTCCTTAGGACAGTATGGCTTATTCTCGTTGTTTGCTGCAATGATTAATAATTCCTCATAACTCCCAAGAGTATCAGCTCGAGTTAAAAATTCAGTAGCTTTCTTAAACAGGCCACCTCTATGGTAAACTCCATCTTTTTAAAGATATATGTTCTCACAGCTGGCATTGGGGCAGCAGTTAAGATACTGCCCGGGATGCCTTCATCCCAGACCGAAGTGGGTGTGTGTTCTGGCTCTGCTTCTGATCCGCCTCTGGGAGGCAACGGTCATCAGATCCAGTGGTTGAGTCCCTGAAACCCACATGGCAGAGCTGGGTTGATTTCCAGGCTCTTGGCTCTGGCCCGGCCCAGCCTTGGCTGTTGTGGGTGTTTGGTGAGTGAAGTAGGAGGTTGAAGATTGGTCCTCTCTCCACACTTTTCAAACAAAACTAAGTAGATAACTATTCTTTGAATTAATGGAAGAATAATTGGCTTATATTTTCTGAGCCTTTGGGACCCTATCATGTAGTCATTTAGGAATTTCTTTGGTGCAGTAATTGAAAACTCACATGAGCTAATGAGTAACTCCCTATGGCTCTCTTAGTGGCCAAAGCAAACAAGGTTACTTCACAGGAGCTCACCTGGTGCAGCGCCTCTGAGAGGGAAATACGAGGGTTTGTTCTTTCAAATTTATATTTGCAAAGCAATTGCCAAAGATTTCAATGAGTTCTTCTGTTTAAAAAATGCAAACATGGGCACCCGCATTGGGCAGCAAGGAAGCAGAGGCTTCGAGAAATCTTAACACTGTGTATTCTGGGATACCATTCCAGACTTTAATTCTGTATGGTTTGTGGTCTTACATACTTTTCACAGGCTCGAGTCACCTGCATTTCTATTCTTCAGGAGGGAGTGGGTATGCTGAAGTTTAGCAATTTGAGCATAGTAAGATTGTCAAAACATTACCAGTGACTCTTAGAGGGTAACTGCGGAAAACTGGTTTCCATGGTGCAGTGCGGGGGCGCTACATGGCACAACCCAATCATCCTCCCCAGCGGAGTGGGGACCGGCTCCTTGGTAGCTTCTGGAAGGAAAAGGCTGGAATACACCTGCGGACTGTCATGAGGTATTTTGGGCAAGTGGATTTCCAGCTTGGGACAGATGGATTCTTACAAAGCACCATCACTGTAACGGGAGTGGCAGAGTGGAAGTGAAGGCAATGCTCCCATCAAAAGATTATTGCTGCTTCTAGCAGAAAGCTTGTTCCCATCCTGCAGCTCTGTCTGCAACCTAGTCCTCAGAAAAAGGAATATATTTAAAGCACGGCAGGGAGCTCAGAACGGTTGCTCTCTGAAACATGTGTTTGGAGAGGTTTTTTCCTTGGAAAAGTGTACAGTGAGGAAGAATTTGTTCTGAGCTGGTCATTCCATAGTACTCCTGTCAAATGTTCTAAAGAGGTGCAGAGTGAATTAAAAATAAAAGATCTCTTTTTGGGTATTGGGGCCATTGTGGGATGGCTGCAATTGGAGTACTTTCAGGTTCAGAGACCTCAAGTATCTTTTACAATGATCCCACTGAACTGCTAGATTGCAGTGCTCACTAGGTCATGTTAGTCAATGAGATTTAAAAATATACCCTGCAAGTAATTTCTTCCCACTGTGAAGAATTATCACGAGATCTAAAAGAATAGCCCTGGAAACAAATTGCAAGACTTCCTGCTTTTCCAGGGGCTTGCTCATAATGGATAACCACTCTCCTGGAGAACTGTCCCCTGCCCCAATATGGGCAGTGAGGCAGAGCTTTCAGGATCCCAATTAGACCTCAAGTCTAATTCTGTATTTTTTGCTGCTGTTGTTGTTTAAACATCTCCATCTCCACAATTTTATAAATCATAGATTCTATGAAATTTGTGGGGACCTTGCCAATCCAACATCATAAATTTAGATGTCTGAGTTCTGATGTACCCCTATCAAAAGGGGAGATTAAGTGTGAGGAAGTTTCAGTTGGGACCGTAATTTGGAAAACAGACTGGAACCTGTGATCTGATAGCCGGCTTACACTATGACGGAAACCTCCGTCCCTCTCCTTGTTTCTCTCACTATCAGCTCCTAGCTCAGACTGAACTTGCCTTTGAGATCTTTAGATCTTGCATCTGATAACGTTCTTATTTCATCATCATCCCTAATTTCACAGGTGCCACAGAAGGCTGAAGCACCTCTAGTTTCTGAACTTGCCTCCCTGTGAAGTGAAGTCACAGTGTTGGCTAATTCTTGCAAGTCCAGAAAGCTAGTCTCCGTTGTTAGATACAATCTGCCTGCTGCATACCCATGTGGGCAGGAACCAAGGAATGAGGCCTATCTCAGAGTACACAGATAGAACACAGATCAATGTAATTTCACACAACTTCCCTTAGCATCCTTCAAGAAAAAGCTTCCCCACTACTGCCTGAGGGGCACAGGGCTGCACTAGAAAAAACTGTCAACAGTGTTTGAAGCTTGTAATGCATTCATGTTCAGAGTCCTGGTGGGTTCAGCAGCTGCCACGAGCCTAGCACCTTGTTACACATTTTATCTATCAACAACTGTATCACATGGCTGCTACAATGATCCTTGTTTTGTTGATTTGGAAACTATGGTTCGGACAGGTTGTACAATTTTGTCTAGTTCACACACTCAACAGGCATCTAGCTGCTTCTGGGTCACTGTGGAGGCTGAAGGCCCAGTTGTATCATGTCCCAGGAGGAGGACTGAAAGCTTTCCCTTCCCTGTTTTACACAGGGCTGTGCTTATGCTTTGTAGCAATGTTTGCTTGTAATCTTGGTTTCCTCATTTATAAATTGAGCAGACAATCCAATTTCATAAGGGAACTGGAAAGATGAAATGAGATCATGCGCCCAGAACTTCATTCCCAGCACACTTGAATATAAAAACCTCATTATAAATAGAACATGTGTCCCCAAGAGTTGCATGCCCCCTTCAAATCTCTACTGAACTCTCTTTCTAAAAGGCCAACTGTTCAGACCCCCTTCTCTGCCGTATACACAGAGGCCAGCCAGGAACCTTTGTCTCTCAATTCTTATTTCTATTGTTCCAAGCACTCAGTTTTTCAGTACAGGTAGTAGACACGTAATGTGTGTTGGTTAAATAAATAAATGAGAAGAAAACCTGAATGAAACAAAGTGGCTGTACTTCTTACCCTGCCAAGATGCTTCACCAGGGCTGGCCACTGCCCCAGGACAGCCTTCTCTTGCCCTTAGGGGAGGCATCTGAAAGTCCCAGCTAGTTTTTAACTTTGAGCTTAATGATATTTTGATCCTGGTACATTACTTACAAGGTTAATACCTAGCTCTTACAGTGGTGAAACTGAAATGAAAATGGTACTTGTTTTTGAGATTGGGAGTGGTGGTGGTGCTGATTAAGTAAAGCAACGTGTAAGAACTCTGTCAGGTAACAAGGATGGGATAAATGTTCACTATTACTTATGCAATCAACAGAAAAATTGTTTACACCCTTAGTGTAGCTTAGAGTCTTTATGAGACAAATGGCTAAATATCATTGCTGCCCTCAGCAATGTCAGACCAGTTGTCCTTCTGGTTGGACCATCAACAACACAGTAGAAGTGAGTGCTGAGTTTACCAGTCACAGCTTTTGGACAGCTAATATTATCACTTCAATGAAGAAGAACAGACCCTAGGGAAGATCCAACGGCTTGCCCAAACTCACTCAACTCAAATCTAGAATGTTCGGGACCTAAACACACGTGTCATGCCTACTGATCCAGCCATTCCCACTGCTTTTTCAAGCTCTCCTCAGGATAGAGTGTGGACCCTCTGGCCTTGAGAGACTTGTGTTTAACTGGATCTTAACCTGACAGTCATTTCCCCGCTCAGAACTTCCGGACACTGCCTTCTCCAAGCAGGACGGAGAACACAGAGCCACACCTCACAGGTCTGTGGCCAAGATCGCAGGAGAGAAAGGCTCTTTGGAAACCCTAATGCGCTGTACAAAGAAGTGGTGCAACAGGCACTAACACGCAAGCCCTTAGCTTCGCAGCCTCGGGAATCGCTCCTATCTCCACCCCTTTCCAAGACCGCGGAGTAGGAAGGAGGATTAACCCCGGGGGAGGAGTTCCGCCCCTCGGCCCCCGCCCCGCCACTGTCTGCTCTCTCTTGAGCCCACACTTGCGCTCCCAGTCTTTCTCCCGCGCCGAGCCCAGGCTGCGCTATCCCCCCGCCAGGCACCGCAAGGCGGGCAGGCAGCCAGGATGCAGGTCCCGCACAAGGAGCACCTGTACAAGTTGCTGGTGATCGGAGACCTGGGCGTGGGCAAGACCAGCATCATCAAGCGCTACGTACACCAAAACTTCTCTTCGCACTACCGGGCCACCATTGGCGTGGACTTCGCGCTCAAGGTGCTGCACTGGGACCCGGATACAGTGGTGCGTCTGCAGCTCTGGGACATCGCAGGTGAGCGGACACAGGGAGCAAGCGTCTCGAGTTGCCCTCCCCCGGGCGCGGCGGCTGGCAGTCAAGCGCGAACTCCAACCGAGAGCGCTTTCTCAGCGGGAAGCTTTTCCTGACTGGTTGGAAACTTGGTTTCAAAGAAAAAGTTTCTAGCTCTAGCTGGGAAGTTCAGGGGCCTTCTTTGGCACTTTTACGTTTCCTTTAGCGCCCTCCCACGCCGTCTTCTCTGGAGATCCCTCCGCTCCGTGCAGGCCTCCCAGGTGAACCAGAGGGAGACCGCACACTTGCATTCAGTTCAACACTTTGGGCGCGGCCAGGAGTGTCTGGGAGAGCCTTGTGTGCCAGGCCGAGTCAGGGGAAGCCCCTCGCCACTTCACAGCGGAAACTGGGAGACCCAAGATAGCTGGAGCTTGTCCATTTCTGTTTCCACTCTCTAAAGTGTCTATCAGGGGCACAGTTTCTCTCTCTTCTCTCTCTCTCTCTCTGTTCCGTTCACCTTTTTAGCTCTGTGGATCTCTGTTGCCTATCAAGAGGTTATGTGCATATTTGAAGGCCGTTTTTAGCTAAAAGACTACTGGATTTGGCCCTAAAGTTTTCAATGGACATTCTGGAAAATGAGCACTTTTACAAGGGTTGAAAACTGAATTTGAGTCTGTGCCAGAAGTTAGGCCCAGTCTAATACTGGGTCCTTGAACTAAGGCTGTTGGGACCTGGGCATGCTGGATCCCTTCTTACAGGTTTCAAGTCTTGCCTCGTGTTAAGCTACTCCGTGTCTCTGGGCAAGTCCCCTCGCTCAGCCGCAACCCTGTTGAGTGCACAGGGTTTGCACAACAAATGTTCAGGAATCTTCCTGCTTGGGAGTTGGAGGGTCCTTGAGATTCTCCAGGGTCAGTCTACGTCATCTCTGGCCATTTAAGGATCTGGGGCACCAGAGATCTTTCTATATAACGCCTGGACCCAGGCTAGCCAAACCTTTTTCTGCAAATAGATTCATTTCAGCTGCCACTTGACTGGAAACACTTTATCATGGCGTGAAGCAACATGTGGATAATATTGAAAGGGCATTCTGGTCTGGAGAGTCTAGTGCCTCTTTGATCATGAGCTGCCAGGTCTTGTGATAAAGAGCTTGGCATGCATTTGGAGGCATCTTCAGTAGTGCCATCGGCGTAGTGTTTGTCAGGCGGGAGGTTTCATTGGGCACCCTCTTACTGCCTGAGTCTGTGCACTTTGTTGGTGTGTGCTTCAGTGTCTGAAAAGTTCTGCTGGCTGCATAAATGTTTACAAGGCTTAACTTAGACATCCCTTACTCTTTAAAAGTGAGCGCATAGAGCTGCAAAGTGTACTTTTGTGCTAAGTCTAAGCAAGAGTGGACCCCAGACACAAGACCGATATGCATGTGGGTACCAATTTCCTCACCTAAACAGGGGAGATGAAGGATCATACTAGTTGAGAGCACAATTTCTACCCTCTGAATCACCGTTTTGTTCTATATGTAATGGGTAGTTTTAGGCAAGTTCCCTAATCTCCTATTTTCAATGTCTTTATCTGTGAACAGGGGGAATACTTTCTGCTAGCAAGCAAAGACGGACAGCCAAGTGTTAGTCGAAAGTGACAGAGCTACCAGTGAGGAGATCTTTGGGGAATACTATTAGCATGAGCTACCAATTTTTTGAGCATGTGTGAACACTATGCAAGAAGAACATGATACACATGTGCAGATTAAATCCTAATACATTATGATGCTATAAAATACAAATGTTCTGTTCCTATTCCTAAGCACTCAGCACCTTTTTTTTTTTTTCACTTTCCCCCATGTTGCAGCATCCTTTCAGGAGCATCCGGTCTCCAAGGTTTAGAAGTGCTTTCTGAGCACCATTGTAGACTCAGGCATCATGTAGATTGTAATCACAGAAATGTGTGTAAAAGAATCTGAAAGTACTAGGGAAGGGGTCAGGGTTGTGACATAGCAACACTAGCATCTGATTTGGAGTACCAGTATGAGATCTGGCTGATCTGAATCTAATCCAGCTGCCTGCTAGTGTGTGTGGGAAGTGGCAGAAGATGGCTCAAGTGTTTGGACAACCGCCACCCATGGAGGAGATCCTGCTAGAGTTCCAGGCTCCTGCCTTTGACCTGACCCAGGCTCAACCATTGCAACTTTTGGGGGAATGAAATAACAGATAGGAAGATCTCATTCTGTTTTTCTCTCTTCTTGTCATTCTACCTTTCAACTAAATGAAAAAATAAAGCCTAGAAAGCAAAAACAAAGAAAGAGCCTAAAGAGTCAGCGATGCAGATAATGTGGTGGTCAGCATCTCAGTAGGAAGCTGCTTTTGTCCAGAGCTTTGAGACTTTATGGGGATTTTTTAACAGCCTCAAGTCCAAAGGCCCCTATAAACTGAGTTAGATGTTAGCAGACAAAGCTGGTTGGAAAGAATTTGGGTTGAAGGACCCAAAGGATGCTTGGAGAATACATGTTCTGAGCTGCATAGGGCAATCTGTGGTTCATGAGTTGGTGTAAAATCCAGCCTCACCTGCACACTGAGACTCCAGTCAACTCTGTGCACTGCATTACTTCAAATCCCATCTTATATTTCCAAAGACATGAAAGCTTTTCTCTCTCTCTTTTTGGTGCTCGACTGTGATATGTGTCTGGAAAGAACATACAGGGAAGATGAATGGGCCTTGTTTGGACAAGGTGGGGTGATCAAAGCAGTAGGGAATATGTACTCCGTCTTTTCATGTGTACTACAGGGAAAATCTTTCCTCAGATTCTTGATATCCATCTGGTTCAATACTAAACTGACCTCTAGTCGTCTAAGAGTCCCATGATGCATCCCTTGTTTCTACTGAGATGGGCAAATCTGGCCCCCAAAGACTCCGAAAAAGCGCCTTTAGAAGCTTGTAAAGTAGATCTTGAAACTAGATGATGAGTCCTACAAGCCCTGGAGAGGATAGCAGTTGCCCTGGATTGCAGGCATTTCACCAGAGAGGAGCAGCTGGCTCAGCTATGTGTTTAGAAGCTCTTTGTAGAGTCAAAGTAAATAGGTTTGCCCAAGGCCACCACGACCATGGTGGAAGAACCGGATTTGACCTGGTTCTGCCTGCCTTGGAACCCAGCCATACTCCTTGTGCCCAGAAGTCTATGAGTGCCTGGCACACAGTCAGCCCACAAGGATCATGCTCTTTTAAAGGCATCGCTCCCTCATTAGGCAGGGTATCTAACCTGTTTTGGGATATTACTCAGTTTCACTGTGCAAAAATAAAAGGGGAGTAGGTAAAAATCTATTTCTGAAAATTTTGTTCTTGGTTATAATGTGCATTCATAGGGTTTTTAATTTTATGATTAATCAAGAAATAAAGAAAAAGTAGGCTCACAGTTGGGATTATTTATTTCTTACTATTCTCCAAAGCCAGATTCTATTAATGCTCACTTAGTCCTTTCAGAGAACACTGCACAATTTTGTTGAGAGTGCTTGATGTGTTTTGGGACTCAGCTGTAGGAATTGGAACATTTATAATAATAGTAGTTAACATTTCTATGAAGTACTTCAGAATATTCTGAATTAAAGATATTCTGTAAATGTAGTACTTGACACTGTATAAACTTGAAAACTTTGCTAGGCCTTAGTCATTACCATCTATAAAATGGTGATTATTTTATTTTCCTGTGATAAAACGTATTTATGCCCTGTCGTCTATTGCAGATTCTATCACATTTAACATCATATTTCCACTGCCTTGATGTGTGCATAGTGTGTTGCGGTTTATTTCAACTTCTTTACTTGTGACTTGTGCAAATTATTTCAACTCTATGGCATGATTTCCTGTTTGAAAGAAAAGGAAAATAACAGAACATACATCTTGGAGTTGTAAGAATTAATCAAGTCAGCACTTGTAAAGTTGTGCCTGACTTATCATAAGTGCTGCCTAGGAGTGGTTGTTTGTCACAGCAGTTAAGACACTGCTTGGGAAACTCACACAGCAAATTGCAGGTTCTGGTGCACACCCTGGGAGGCAGCCACTGACAGCGCAAGTACTTGATTCCCTGGTATGCACATTGAAGACATGGGTTGAGTTCCTGGCTCTTGGCTTTTTACCTAGCCCAGCCATACTTTCGTGGGCATTCAGGAGGCAGACTAATTAGAACGTCTCTATCTCCTTTTCTCTGTCATATAAAAATTAACATTTTTGGAAAAAGATCACCATTGTTTTTGTTGGAATTGTTATTATTATAAAAAGACTACTTTCATATATAGTTGCCTGATTGATCTTCCAAACATTGCTGAGGGTATAAACAAAACACATGTTGTTAAACCCATTTTGTATTATTAGAGAAGACCAAGGATCACACAGGTAATAGTCTTTCCAAAGGCCACAAGGGACCAAGAAGAACAGAAACAGTCTAACTCCACTGCATGCATACATGTGGGGGAAAGAGAGGGGGAGGGAGGTGATTAAATCTCTTACTCATCAGAAAGCCCAACCTTAGATTTAACAAATACAGTAGAAAAGAAGCTAAGCTGGCAAATCATTTAGAGAGCATTTCTTTAACATATTAAAGCTTCACTACGGGGCTCTACTAAACTAAACAAAACACATTCAAGCTCAGAAGGAAAGTACCTCATATAGAATATATCTACACTAACTTTTCTGCCTCACATAAGCTATTTGACAAGGAAGCAGAGGAGTATATTAGCTATCTCATGGGCAGAGTAACAGGGTGACAGCAACTTGGGCCCTGAGTCAGGCCTTGGCAGCTAACTGATGGCACATTAGGGGCTGTGAGGCTTATTTGGGTCACAGCAGTAGGTTGTCACAAAGTTTGTAAAGTGCTTTGAGGCTGTGAAATTCAACTAAAGGAAGGATTTGGCTTTCACCATTTCTTCAATACCTGTTTCCAAAAGAATGTATTTCTCCATGGAATTTTATCTTAAAGGGTAAGATACAGGATTTAGAAACATAGAAAGAACTAAATTTGGCAACCAATATGCCAAATCCTA